ATGTTATTTCGTGTTGAACTTTGTATAATGGTTAATGTATTTAATTAAATTGTTTTTTTTTTTAAATTGATGTTCATTGTATCGTTTCTTTTTTGTCAACTACAAAATTGTCTTTGGAGTTTTAATTGCTTTGCCATATTATTTTTTGTTTTCCATAGCACAGATGATTAGTTAAAATACATTTGTCATGAATTAGTAGCCGGGCGCCGAATGCGGTATCGACTAATATTTTGTCGTCTTTTCTGTAATTAATGATTTACAAAAGTCAAGTTCATATACATCGTTGGATTCAGAAAATAAATCTGCACAATAATAAATAAGAAACTTTTCAAAAAAAAAAAATAGTAAATGTCATTTAATTTTTTTTTTTAAATCAGACTAAATAATGGAGTTATGGCTTGCGGCGTTTTTTAGGTGACAGCCTGTAGATGGATATTAAATGGATGATTTAAGTAATGTAACAGGAAATGTGAAAAAATATGAAAGGCAACAGAATCCAATTTTTTATAAAGATTTTCACTTCCTATGAGAAGGGACCAAGAAATTATAATTGTTGCTGTCATATATAAAGTGTTAATGATATACTCAGTCAAACATTAACGGTGAATTCAACGAACCTGGAAATACCTTGTTTTGAGTTACAAGGTGTTTATTTTTTACATTTTTTTAAATATTTCTCAAAATGCTCGATGTAGATTGATGAAACTTGTGGAAACAAAAATTATTGAGTTGATACATAAACTCTGGATAATCAGTGACAGAGATACTGGAAAACACAGTTGCTAAAAACTTCGACGTAACTTAATATTTTGAAAATTAGATAAATATATTTAATTACAGTTGATGTTTCGAAGGAAAATATATATTTTTCAGTTGATTTGAAAAACAAGTCAATTTTGAGTTATTTTTTTAAATTCAAAATAAGCCAAACAGTTGAATAGATAAAAAATAATTCTTAATCGTCTTAAAATAAACAAGAAAAAAAATAGGGAGGAATGTTTTTTAGAAATATAAGCAGAAATTAAAAAAAATTGGCTTAGCAATTTTAAAATTTTTAGTGGATTACTCTCCTTCAGAAAATTCAAAATTCCTGCCCCAATGTTTTTTTTTAACTTTTTAATAATTACATTGTATTTAAAATTTTATTTCCAACAAAAAATTCTTATTAATTTTTTTTATGACATAAATGATAATGGATTTATTTTTGGAATTATTCAGATGTCATAGTCTCATTTTATATTTAAAAAATTGTAACAGACTTAAATAAAATGACAGAATTTTTTTTTATAAATACCAACTGTAATTAAATGTGCCTATCCAATTTCCAAAATATTCAGTGGCGTCAAAAATCTAGGATTCTAGGTAAAGATGAAGTAGAAAACACACCAAAACTTTGTCCATAATTAGTTAAATTATTAACCAAAGTTTCATCAATCTGTGTTAAGCATCTTAAAAGACATTTAAATAAATGTGATATATATATATATATATATATTTTTTTAATTCCAAAAATTTTTGTACCTCAAAAATAGATTTCTTTTTATCGATATATACATAATCCACCATTGAAGTTTGGCAGAGTATCAATAACGTTCTATATACAGGGTGAAAAATGTACGAATTTTGGTGCTGTAAATATATTTTTTTTAAGAAATTTTTATACAGAGTGTAACTTTGGATGGGGATCATATTTATAAGGGGGCTTCCTTTGACCTTTAGAAATACGTATCATTAGTTTATTTTTTCAAATTTCGTCGTAAAAACTTTTTTTTTTAGTAATTTTGATATCCCACTGCTGAAGAAGCTAGTGCAACCTCAAATAACAATGCGCTTTAATCGTAGCACATGCACAATTTCAGACCATTAGCCGCAAGTTACTTTTATCGAGTGGTGATGGCTTCCAGTGATGAAAAACATCCAAATTCACAGTTAGATATAATGTCTCCAAATGCAGAACAACTGACGTCCTTCACTTTGTCACCGTTTACCCGCACTATCTCCCTTCGGATGCATTGTAGGTTACCTACAATTCATGTATTTGTAATACAAGATTTTAGTGGTGGTGTATAGTCTTTCCGAAGTCAGTTGAACGTGTATAAAAATGCCTAGCAATAAAATTTAGTGAGTTTCATAGGCGTTCCTAAAAGTTTTCTGCTAAAGGAAAAATATAATATTAATTTGTATATAATGTGTAGAAAATTTCTATTATATGTTCATTTGGCCAACAATTTTAATTATTTATGTCTTCAAACAATTTTATTATATTGATGGTGTATTTTGGTTATGACATATCAAAAAACATTTACATTTTCATTAAAATATATTACCGCTCGCTAAAAACCAACAGAAAGGCATGAACATATCCTTGCCGGGTAAGGATGAGGAAAGGTTGTTAGTTTAGGTTAAGAAAATTATTAAATAAAAATAATCAACAATAAAATAATTCCGCATTGCTAGGCAAGTTGTCAACAACTGAAATTTAAGGCAAGTTGCCCAGTGCAGCTGTGTTTGTGCTCTGTTTGCCCGCACGCATATTCTTCAACTGGACGTATACATTTCTACCACTTCCACGTTTAGTTCGACCAGACCTGTATATGGGTATGCCTAAATAAACATAAGAACAAGTTTTTCAAATATTCCAATATCGAGTTGCTGCGTTACGACCGAACCTGGTACATAATGCCTAGCTCTTTGGTCTTCAATTGAGATCGGAAAGACTATCACAGGTATTAAAGTGCATTTTAAAAAACTTATTATAATTGCACTATTTGATTAAAAAAAAATTTTTAGATTCATATTCAGGGGAACAAGTATTATTACTCCTAAAAAACTCACCTCCACTTAAAGTTACACCCTGTATTATATAAAAAAATATAAATAACAAATTAACATTTTTTCTCAAAAAAGTAAATCAGAATAATCAATCACACATCCATAATAAAGTAAAGTACTGCAAATCCCTATTTAAGATAACAAAATGTTTCGGTAATGAGCAAATTGTCGCTACATCAAAACAAGCATCTATGAAAAATTTGTACATAAAGAAAATGCTTGTGAATAGCTCATAAATAGATAGGCCATTAGACGCAGATTAATGTAAGTTTTGCCAATGAGTCAGCGGTCACCATGAATTAGCAAAAAAAAGGCATCTCTTACTTTGTACAGATATGGACAATTCTTGACCTAAATCCTTAAAACTAAATGTTTTAAGGATTTTTTTTGTCCACAACTGTACTTTGAGGTGTGACAACTTTAAAACTCGGTTAATACAGGATGGGTTTGTTAGTAGGCCAGGAAATATAGAGTTGGACGTGAATCTTTGTTTCGGCAAGCTGAATTTATCACTATAGATGCTAAATATTATGTACAATAACATATTAGTTTCCACAGTCATAAAAATGGGGGGAAGATTGTTTACAGGGTGGTTAATTGTATAATTTTACGTAAATTCACATTTTTCGCTTATAACTTTTTTCCTTTATTTCCACAAGAAAACAGTAATGTACTTTTTTTCGTCTTCAAAAGACCTACAAAACTAGCCCTCGAGCGTCAAAAAATATTAATTAGATTAAAAGTTATAAACAGAAGAAGTTTATTTATGACTTTTGAATTAAACATTTATAAACTGCGTTATTATTACCAGAACGTTTTGGCATCGCATCCTCTCATTCCTTAATCACTGTCTAATAACTCGCACGAAATCTGGAATCGGTAAGTTGAATAGTTTGGTCTTATAAACAAATTAACTAATTATTAGTCGAGGACGATCCCGAGGATCTTCCACAATCGCACTGATTTTTTTCATAGTAGATTTCATAATAACACATTGAAATTTAAATTTTTTTTTTAATTTCAAATTTGCAACCTGGAAATTTTTTTATTTTTTAGCCTTAATTGCAAAATGGAATATACGAAGCATGAGCGTGATATAGTTATATATTATTACATATTCGGAAAGCTTATGAAAACTTTTAAGTTAAAAAAATATTGTCAAGATTCGTTCAAAAACAACAGAGTTACAGACTGTTAAATATATTATTTTCAAACGAATTTCGTTTATTTAACGGCAGGCCTATGAATATTATCATTTTCTTCGGACTCGCTGTCGTTCGCTTCCCCCATCCTTCCGCTGCGCAACGGCTCGCCAAAAATCAGGCGACCCACTGACTTTTGACAATATTTCTTATACACTGAACATACTTCCACAAATAAAATATTTTTATCTGGGAAAGTACTCGGGTTGCCGGTTACGACATTATTTCTTTTTTGCCGCTACCAACCCAATTTGTTTAACAATAGGTCGTCAACTTTGAGTCTATAACTCCATTGTTTTTCAACGAATCATGACTTTTTTTTTTTAACTTAAAGCTCTTTTCATAAGCTTTCTGAATATGTAATAATATATAACTATATCACGCTCATGCGTCGTATATTTCATTTTGCTACTAAGTCTAATAAATAAAAAAAAATTACAGGTTGCAAATTTGAAATTAAAAAAAAAAATTATAGATTTCAATGTATTATTATGAAATCTACTATGAAAAAAATCAGTGCGATTGTGGAAGATCCTCGGGATCGTCTTCGACTAATAGTTAATTTGTTTATAAGACCAAACTATTCAACTTACCGATTCCAGATTTCCTGCGAGTTATTAGACAATGATTAAGGAATGAGAGGATGCGATGCCAAAACGTTCTGGTAATAATAATGCAGTTTATAAATGTTTAATTCAAAAGTCATAAATAAACTTCTTCTGTTTATAACTTTTGATCTAATTAAAATTTTTTGACGCTCCAGGGCTAGTTTTGTAGGTCTTTTGAAGACGAAAAAAAAGTATTCTACTGATTTCTCGTGGAAATGAACGGAAAAAAGTTATAATCGAAAACGCGAATTAACGTAAAAATTATAGAATTAACCAGCCTGTAAACAATCTTCCCCCCATTTTTACGACTGTGGAAACTAATATATTATTGTACATAATATTTAGCATCTAAAGTGATAAATTTAGCTTGCCAAAACAAAAAGTCGCGATGGTCATTTCCCAGCTTATTTTCCTGGCGTATACCTCAAAAATTCTAATAGAAGTTAAATTTGAACAAAAATTTTCCCATAAAAAACATACTTTTAAGTATTGTAGATTCATGGTTAGCCTATTTTTTTGATCGAATAAGTAACGTAGTTCAAATACCATAAAAACAAAGCATTAAAATTTTATTCAAGATTCGCTTAAGCATTTTTCTTTTCGTTTTTAATCATTATAAATTTTGGTTTAAATTTGATCTTCGCAAATCAAGATCTACGCACAACCTCCAATGGCAAAATTTACCACATCGTACATAAAATCTTTGGTAATTATAAATATAAAATAAAATTTTATTAAAAATTAAATGAAATTACACTAAAATAAATTAAGTAATGTTAGCGCAGATCACCCATCTGCTATCCTTATAAAAAAATACTGCTATATAAATAATAATAAATACAAATAAAACTAAAATTATTTTGCAAAAGGTATAGTGGTTCAACCAAGATTAGAAATCTGAGCCGACTGAATCGCGGGAGGCTCTAATCCCCTTTGCTTCCTAAATCTTGACAGTTCTTGTGTTAATTCCTGTAACAAAAGTTTTGTATAGATTTGTGAAAAAACTTTAACTGGTTCCCCACCTTTGGCAATGTAGTTCTGATGTGGGTCCTTGAATACCGTTTAATTATCCTACTGAGTTGGTTATGCAAATCAAGCAGCGGCACCAATGAATACCCTTCCGTCAATTTGACAGTTTGTTCCAACACTCTTTCTAACTCCGGCTGTGAGCATTCGATTGCTTTGGTTTTCGAAACTTCTGAAACTAAACACTTCGATAACGTTAATGTAAACAAAATAGGTATCATTTAAAATGAGCAAGAAAGGAACTATAATGAGAACATAATTATTGCAAGTAATGTAAAACTGAATAATGTTCAGAGACAATTGGTAGTTTTTTTACCTGTTTCATTTAGAGCTTGATCAACATCATCGAAATCTAAAGGATTATCTAATAATTCCGAAGGACTCAGTAGATCACTCAATCTCCTCTTTGGGGACCTTAAAAAATGGTAGTATTACACACTTGTATTGTTTCATATATGAATATGTAATATTCAGAAAACTTAAGTGTTAATTAAAGAAAGGTACTTTGTACAGGGTGGACCAAATTCTACCTTTAGAGGGATAGATAGAAAAAAATTTTGAGAATCGAATGATTAAAACTGCATCTCAATATGTTTTTTGAAATGTAGGATAAAAAAACTTTATCTACCTGTGACACTGCTGTTTTTATTTATGCAATACAGGGCCAACTAGGGCACGTTTTGTTGACGTAAAAACAGCAAATTGGTATTAGTGATTTTTTCCCCAAAAAACAGATTACGTATTCTCATTTAACATCCCTTAAAACATATTATCACCAAGTTTCATCAAATTCGATTTGAAATTTTTTGAAATCAGCCAAAAAATAATAAAGTTACAGGCTTGTATCACATTCAAGTGCGACATCATGGAGTGCTCTATCAGGTCCTCTCCGGTTAAGAAATGCGTACCATCCACGTGTTTCTTCAATTCAGGGAAGAGATGGAAGTCACTTGAGACTATGTCTGGGATACTGTCACACACCCACCTTACAGCCCAGACATAGCCCCGAGTGACTTCCATCTCTTCCCTGAATTGAAGAAACACCTGGGTGGTACGCATTTCGCAACCGGAGAGGACTTGAAAAAGGTTTTCAGTTTAAGAGGCTCATGGTGCAGCGGGAGAATTCTACCATGCAGGCATACAAATGGCAATCACGTAAAAATTCATCGATCTCAGTGGCGATTATGTAGAAAAATAGGTAAAAGTCTAAGCTTTCCACACAGGTATTATTCAATGCCAATAAACATGTCTTTCTTTATGAAAAATAACTGGGATTATTTTACGGACAACCCTCGTATATATTTATAGAATTTACTTCAAATCTTGCTTCCAAGGCATTTAACAAATAGTAAGTAGGCTAATAAATTTAAATTGATAAACCATTTAGATATAAATCTATATTGATGGTTTATAAGAAAATTAAGGAGAGAAGTCTAAAAATTACAAACTAAATGTTCAAATACTTTTAGAACATAAGGATTTGAATGGGTTGATAAATGTCTAAAAATGGAAGAGATAAAGCTTCATTGGTTTAAAGGTAAATTAAATATAATCCATAATAGTCTCGACTTTGTTACATCAAATTTATCAAAAACATTCGCAAGTTTACTGCGAAACACCGGTCGAGCGTTAAATGTGTGCGACAAATAGCAGATTTCTGTTGTAATTTTTTGTAAATATGAAAATTCACTAACGAATATTTGTAGAATTCGCAAACATTTAGTAATTAAGTAACACATTATCTGTAACAGGAATGAGAAATTAAATCTTGGGTAACTTCTCTCGTTATTGTCCTTAGGCAGATTCTGATTCTTGGAAATTTTATTGTACTAGCTTATCTATTTGGTAAACAATAATCCAACTATTTTCCCATTCTCATTTTCGTGGTCTTTATAAAGCCGGGTCCACATTAAACAGACAAAACTAAAACAGAAAACAAAACAAAAACAAAACTTTTTAAAAACTTTTAGGCAAAAAAACTGTTTCGAAACAAAGTCTACACTGCAGACCATTTATTCAAAACAAAACAGCAACAAACATTTCATGTTTCAGTTTTGTCTTTGCAGTCCTCACTAGAAGCATGTGTTTCGTTAGAGTTTTCGTAATGCTGAAGAAGACAACGATTTCATTGTAATGGCTGGTTATTATATTTTGTTAAATTTATATATCCGTGAAGACAACAATGGTTTATCAGGCGAGATACGTTCTAGTTTTACCAATTTTTTCTTTTTTTTCCCATAACAATGGGGTTTCTCAATACATCTCTACTAATTTACAAGTGTTATCCAGCGTCCACTTTGTTTTTTCTTACATATCGTTTCACAGTAATTACGTTCAACAAATGAGCACATGTGAACGATATTTTAAGTTTTGTTTCTCCGTCCACACTGAATCGATACAGTTCCTGATAAAGCAAACAAAACAGATACCCTTTCATGTTTACTGACAGGCGACGGGACTCGAAATTGTTCGGGAATCCGGCAACAAAACAGAGCCGAGACAAAAAAATTGCTGAAATGTTGCAGGTTTGTTGCAGAATTGATGAAAAACATAAAGTTTCTGTTTTGTTTCTCCTTCGTAGGTTTGATGTGGACCCGGCATAATGTAAAAAATTTGTTAACACTTGAATACCGTAGGAATATGTATGTTATTTTGAATTATGTAATAGCAATAACCATCATATGACTTACTGTAATAGAATATGATCCATCTTTTGGGGTTGTGTATCACAGTTAATGGTGAGCGGAGCAGTAGTCTCGGAAGTCCTCCTGCTTCCTTCCTGCTGAGGTTCGGTTGTAATATCACTACTATTTAAGGTTTGCTCGGGGGATACCTCCATTTCATTTTCTTTGGAATCATCGGAAGATGCTTTTTCTTCGGTCTACCAACAAGGATAATTGAAAATTCATCCAACAAAAAATTTCTGGCTTTATATTTACAATTGCCACTAAATAAATACACATTACATAATAAAATATAAAATACTAATAAAGTTAATAAATAAGGTAGTTACTTTTTTCTGTTTACATTTCATAGGAATTCCTCAAAATAATATTAAAGCGAGGGAATGACGTTTTTACTGGAAGCGTCAGGATTAGGAACTATCATTTCTTACACTGGCACGTCGTCATGTTTTATTATGTTGATAAGATGGCAGTGCCAATAACAGCCAATAGAAATGGTAGTAGTAAATCTACGAAAACTGAATTTTATTGGCAAAAAATGGCAATGCATCTACCTTACTTTATTGACGAATCATATGCTTAAATTGTTGATAGAAAAATAGTTCTATGCACAAACTTCCAAGAATTACGTCATTCAGCATTAATGCATACAGGCCAACCAATAGAGATTTTTTGGCACACTTAAATATTACAGCAAATTTCATGTATTACATTTTGAAAAATACTTAGTAAATGAAAACCCAAATGATTTCCCTAGCTGTCGTGAACAATTTTTTGTTAAACAATAAAAACTGCAAAAAAATGACATTTTTATATCTCGAAAAATAATGATGGAATGAATAGGACTCTCAATAGGACTTTTGTAGATAATAAAAAAACCTGTAAATGGATTTTTGTGCAACCCGATTGGTTTATTTTTTACAGAGAAAATACGGAAAAACCCCTAAAATAGACCTTTTTTTCAAAAATGCATAACTCCGTCAAATTTGAAGCTGGAAAAACAATCTTGCGGAAAATGACAGATAATAATATGTAGTTTAATCGTGCTCAAGATGGTTTCTGTCTGATGCATAGTTTTTGCACAGTATCATTATAAACAAATTAGGGTCTTTTTTTGCACAGTGTGGCGATTTATCAAAAATGGTTCAATTTAAATTCTGAAAACGGCATCTGAAAGTAAACGTCAAAATCTCCAATTTGTATATCTCAGATTCCTAGGTGATAGGAAATATGCTAAAAATGCCCTTGAAAGTCACCCGAAACGATCGAAAGTACGCTCGAGCCAGAGTCCTTCGCTCACTGCTTCCCCCACTACCGCGTGGAGCGTACTTTCAATCATTTCAGGTGACTTTCAAGGGCATTTTTTGCATATTTCTCATCACCTACGCGAAAATCCGAGATGTATAAATCGGAGATTTTGTCGTCTACTTTCAGATGCCGTTTTCAGAATTTAAATTGGACCATTTTTGATAAATCGCCACGCTGTGCAAAAAAAGACCATAATTTGTTTATAATGCACGGTGGGCTTGAACATGACTTAAATGCGAAGTTTTAGCACCACCGATTTTCTTTCGGCATTCAGTCATAAGAAGGCCAGAAAAAAAAATTCACCGTAATCCTTAGAGCCGTTTTTGAAAAAACACCCTTTTTCAACAAAGAAAAATTCACTGTTCGAGATATCGGGAGTTTTCTACCTTTCGCTCACTTTTAGTTGCCGAACTTCCCCAATTTGGCAAAAATGACGTTTTCCTGAAAGTTTTACACTAGCACACAAACATTTACAAGCATATTTTTCAAATTGCCCGTTTTACTAAGACCGGAGATGAAGATACTCATTGACGATTCTCAGAAACAGGTTAAAATAGAAAAAATTTGAAAAAAATATTTTTCATTCGAGTGAGTTTTGCAGTAGTATGTCAACAAGCGAGAATCATGTCATTTATTTCCATCCTTGTTTGATTTGCGAGGTCATTGAACTATCGCCAACTCCCACCCGCGATTGTTTACGTTTTGTGATACTCCAGATAGAATGACCAATATTATTCGTGAAATTAGTTAAAACTCCAGATAGTCTTCGACCCTTTAACTGTAAAGTTGTAATTGTTCTCTTCGAAATTTCAATTTCTTGTGAAAGTATGGATAGAAGATCAAAGGATCATGCAGGAACTGATCAAGAAAATCGGGAGCGGATATGTTCTCCCTGCCTGCAGAAGAAGAAACAAATGGTCAAAATCAGTGGTAGTTTATTTGTGAATCTAAAAAAATGTGTGAATTATGCTGAACAGGATGAATGTTTCCCCAATGTTTTCTGTAGCACTTGCAAAATTATCCTATATCGGTCAGTGAAGTGTGGAAGTATCGGGAAAATAGCCCTGCCGGACTATATAGAGTTCAAAATTTTGGAGAAGAATACTTGGGCAAAAACTCAAACGTTGTGCAGTTGCACATTGTGTGAATTGGTACGAGATCCAGGGCCATATTACATGTTCTTGGAAACTCGGGAAGTGTTTTTCTGGGCTAGAAAAATGTTTTTCCCTACCGAATAAGTTTCACCACATTTTCTGCACTTGTTGCTCCTCTTCTTTTTGTTCTTGGCAGTTTTTTTGGTGAAGTTATATGGCCCTAGATCTCGTACCAATTCACACAATGTACAACTGCACAACGTTTGAGTTTTTGCCCGAGTATTCTTCTCCAAAATTTTGAACTCTATATAGTCTGGCAGGGCTATTTTCCCGATACTTCCACACTTCACTGACCTATATAAGATAATTTTGCAAGCGCTACATAAAACATTGAGAAAACATTCATCCTGTTCAGCATAATTTACACATTTTTTTAGATTCGCACATAAACTACCACTGATTTTGACCATTTGTTTCTTCTTCTGCAGGCAGGGAGAACATATCTGCTCCCGATTTTCTTGATCGGTTCCTGCATGATCGTTTGATCTTCTGTCCATACTTTCACAAGAAATTGAAATTTCGAAGAGAACAATTACAACTTTACAGTTAAAGGGTCGAAGACTATCTGGAGTTTTACTACTTTCACGAATAATATTGGTCATTCGATCTGGAGTATCACAAAACGTAAACAAACAATCGCGGGTGGGGGTTGGCGATAGTTCAATGACCTCGCAAATCAAACAAGGATGGAAATAAATGACATGATTCTCGCTTGTTGACATACTACTAATTTTTTCTATTTTAACCCGTTTCTGAGAATCGTCAATGAGTATCTCCATCTCCGGTCTTAGTAAAAGGGGCAATTTGAAAAATATGCTTGTAAATGTTTGTGTGCTAGTGTAAAACTTTCAGGAAAACGTCATTTTTGCCAAATTGGGGAAGTTTGGCAACTAAAAGTGAGCGAAAGGTAGAAAAATCCCGATATCTCGAACAGTGAATTTTTTTTCGTTGAAAAAGGGTGTTTTTTCGAAAACGGCTCTAAGGATTACGGTGGATTTTTTTTTCTGGCCTTATAACTTCAGGAATCGAATGCCGAAAGAAAGTCGGTGGTGCTAAAACTTCGCATTTAAGTCATGTTCAAGCCCACTGTGAATGCAATTGTGCAAAAACTATGCATCCGACAGAAACCATCTTGAGCACGATTAAACTACATATTATTATCTGTCATTTTCCGCAAGATTGTTTTTCCAGCTTCAAATTTGGCGGTTATGAATTTTTTTAAAATGTAATTTTCTGCAATTTTTATCGTTTTCATTTACTAAATATTTTTCAAAAGGAAATACATGAAATTTGCTGTAATAATAGTTAAGTGTAAAAACAACCTCTTTTTTCGCTCTATTGGTTGGCCTAATAATGCAATGATGTAATAATCCAGCAGTAATTTGAAATTAAACTTTGTACCCCTTTTTATATATACAACAATCGCAACCGGTGAAACATTAAGCAAATCTTTTGAAAAAATTATAAAAAATAAATGGGAAATGACCCTATCCTGGCACTTTCTACATGAACATTTAGCAGCACTGATATAGAGCAACTTTTTATTTCATAAAAAATAAACTAAAAAATGTTTTCTTACATGAGACTGTGATATATCCAGAAGTCTCCTTTTTCTCTTCTTCATTAAATATCCCTTCTGCCAACTAAATCTTTTTCGCTTCCTCTGCGGACTCTTCCCGCCGTCGTGTTTATCGACCATCTGCTTTTCTTCCGGTTTATCCTCTTTCGGAACAGTCTCCAAAGTTTCCACTGAAGATGGTGGTTTATCTGCCCCATCGATTAAAGCTGCATCTAAAAGTTTCATTTCTAACATACTTTTTAATACTGCATTAATTAGAATGGATGTGAAATAATTCACATGCAAAAACCACAAATAACGCTAAAAAGAATTATGGGAACCTTTTGAATGTGAATTGTATTGTATACTACAATTTCGATAATTTTGGGGAGTTCACGAGGAAAAAGTCAAGAAGTTCAAATGAATCGGGCCAATATTTTTTTTCATAGCAAACCGGAGATATTTAACTACTTTTTATCCACAGCAATAGAGGAAAACCCCAAAAGTATTGAAATTTGCCCACTTTTTAGAGTGCAATTTTAAAATACAATGTGTAATTACAAGAAGATGTAATTACCAGGAGTGTTTATATATGGAGGTAAGTACTTTGTGCGACAATGTTTCCTTTCTTTACGTTTTTTCGAAATCTCCTGACATTTCTCCTCAAAATCCGTATCCATTTCAGTTTTTATTAAGGTGTACGCATAATCGCGAAGGGAGCAAGCTCGATGTCTAATCTGTTTATCGGCAGATGTTCTGAAAAAGTTTAAAAGTCACTGCAGGTATATTCAATGTCGAAGATTAATTACCTAGCGGGGTTGTATTCTAGAGCGTTTTGGCATATCAGTTCGATATCATTGAGGAAGTCTTTGGCACATTCATATCGATGAAAATCAACTTTGGTCATCATGGTTTCCAAATCCATCGGTTGTTTTATTATGGTTGTATAATCTGGTACTTCTTCGGTGTCGACGGGTTTGGTAAACATGAAAAACCTAAAATAAATAAATAAATAAAAAAACGGAATAAAAATTGAATAAACCATACTATAGTTTATTTCAAACTGGTGCGAAATATTAAATTGTAATGTACCACTTTTGTGTTCATTGATTATTCATGAATTATTTATTTTTCATTTGATTTGTTTATTTTCTGGTATTATTTAACATTACGATCCGTTTTATGTCTTGATATTTATCGAAACAAAGTAGAAATTAGTTAGATTGTACAAATTATTTTAAAATCTGCAGCCCCGTTGTAATAAGAAACGAGCCACGCACAATGAACGCCCACCACAAATCTATCATGACAAGACACTAAGACTGTTAATAAAATGAGGAGTGCATCAATATGCCCGTACTTATAGTCGATACTTCAGTCGAACTCGGACCTGAGCACAACTTAAGCACACAGTTGCATATTATAGTCCATACTTCGTCGGTGAGCACGACTCCATGCGATCTTAGCAACGCCCCATACTCAAGTTCAGCAGAGACTCACCTTGAGGCGTGTGCGGTTAAGTTTGACTTTGACAAATTTTGTGTTATTTTTTGAAATTACAAACACAGTTTAAGTGTAATTCATGGATCGTGAAGAGAATTTGGATTTTTTGGAGTTTATTGATATTATGGTGGACAAAAGTGTTGCCGTTGTGGAAAGAATGCCGAAAAGGTATATTTGTGATGCTGGAAATCTGATCCCATATTCATATTGAAAATAACACAAGCCGACAAAACTTTACGAAAATTCAGAACCAGAAACCGGATCTAGTGTACCCAAAGGATTTTGGTGCGCTGATTATGAATTCGAGCTCAGAAATGGCCCATCACCTCACTGGTTTAGTGTCACAGGTTATAGCTTACTTAGGTTTACCTGTCGCGGGTTTAGCGTTCGCAGGTTATTGCGCATTTAGGTTAACTTGTCGTGGGTTTAACCCTCGTTGGTTATACGCATTTAGGTTAACATGTCATAGATTATAGCGCATTATGATGAATCTGTCATGAGCTTAGCATCCAAATATAACGGCGTGTATACCTAAGTATCTGCTTCATTTAGTAATTTTTGCAATTTTAGGTTAGAAAATCTTGAAATATTGAGGTGTTTTCAAATTCAGCAACTCGAGAAACATATAAGTACTTTATATCTCGTTTTTGGATAAATTTTGTTTATTTCCATGTTGTACCAAAATCGCTGAAGCACTAAACTTCAATCTATCATATCTCTATGGAAAAAAGATTTTCAAAAAAATCGAAGAGCGCTTGGAAGGGTAAGAGTGGTACTTTGAGATAGTTTAAAGCGATTTTAGAAAAAAAATTAATTCACGTTGTAATCTGACCCCGAATATAGTAAAAAACCTCAATTTTTGCACTTTTAGGTTAGAATATCTCAAGAACCTAGGGTGATGGGTCAATTCTGAGCTCGGATTCATAATTAATTTACCAAAATCCTTCGGGTACACTAGGTCCGGTTTCTGGTTCTGAAAATTGTCGGCTTGTGTGATCAACTTGGCCTATTGTTTCGGGCAGACTTCATGAACCAACATTTTAAAAATAAAATGTACAATTTTAATAAAGTTTTCATACGATTTTATGTATAGTACTTATAATGTTTCTATGTTTGTGACTATCTCAAGGTAGGCTCAGGGTTATTGAGGGAAACCCGCAGTTTAACTAGTTTAACTGATCATCCCTTATTGTTCTTGGTTCTGTGGGGATGGACCAGCAACAAAAAATCTTTTACTGATTCATTGATATGCATTGGTAATTCTGTTAGTTAAAAAATATTAAAACTACACTACAAAAACTAGTCTTTTTTGTCTTGTAACAAAAAGAAATATAAAAAACACCTGGAATTAAATTTTCTTCAGTGTAGCTGCTCGAGCACTTACTCTGCACTAAGGCTCATGTGGAGTTTCTCCCACGATAAACATAGGGAAACTGGCACCCTAGATAATATAGATATTTCGATATTTCTGATCTGACAAGATATTGTAAATGTGACGCTCAAGCAGAGAAGTTAAGTGATGTCAGACTTCACATAAAATAATAGTAATAATCAGTGAAATCCTTGAATGGCTAATAATAGCGGTGTGCCGCAAAAATTGGCGATTCTAATGCGCGATGATAATTCTAATAAACGTTACTATTGAGATTTAACCCTTTCACTGCTCTAGACGTATTTATTCGCTAAAAATTTATAGGGCTTAAACTGCTCCAGACGGATTAATTCGCTTGAATAGTTAAATTGGATCAGGCTGCTCAAACCGTATATATTCGCAACCATGCGCATAGTGACTCGGTCGTTGAATTGGTATGGGGAATTTTTGCGGGCGTAGTTTGTAGCGATTATGACAAATATTTTTATGGAAGGAGGTACTGGTACTGATTGTTCATCTCTCTTTCAGTTTCTATTTAGTACAGCTGTCGATATACTGTCTTTTATTTAAAATAAAATCATAAAATTGATCGTAAATCGTAATTTAACACAACATAATGTAAAACTAAAAGTGGTCTAACTGCTCCAGACGTATATGTTCGCACGCGATAAACTTACGCGCACGGCACGGTAGCTACGTTCAGACGTATTGCGCAGCGAAAGGGTTAAGAATGAAAAGTTAACAGTATGTTCACAAACAAAACTTTGAAACGGATAAAATTGAGAAAATCAAAAAAGAAATATATTTTTTTATAAAATAACGCTACTTACAATTTATTACTAGCGAGTTTCTTGCACATATCCCTCAAGAATATCCTGAGCTCCCTCAAAGTGTGCTCCTCCTTGTCGTATAACTTCCTACACTCTTCCTCGTTCAGTGGAGGAGGGGGTGGTGTAGGCGCCCTGAGAAGGGGTGGCGGAGTTTTAGGCCTCTCTCGTGGCTGCCTTGGCAATCTCAAGCTTGAATCTATTATGAGGGGTTTGTAGAAAAACCTTCTAATTTCACAGTTTGGTGGCTCAACTTCCATGACCTCATTTCGGTAATGAGAAAATATGTCCCGTAACTAAAAAAAAATATACATTTCAAAATTTTAAAAAGCATTTTTTATAATTAAAGAAAGTAACTTACTTCACTGGGCAAATCCTTATATAATCTATCTGCGGTAGCTAAAAACAGGATGGGTATGTTTGGATCAAGCTGTTGCAGTTGCGCTATTAAAATGGCTCTAACGGTTTCCGCGACTAGTTCCCACCACTGATCTATGCTGGGAATGTACACTATACTGGGGACATTTCGTCTTGCTTCGTTAAAAACCTAAAATTAGAATAGTTTCAAAAATATGAACTATGTTAACACGACATTTTTATAATCTGTGAATTTCTAGTTAAATTCTTATAATCCTAGTTTAAGTAAAAAAAAACCCCATTCATGTCTTCAAGGTCTTTTATATAAGTTACTTTTAAATATTCTTTAAATAAAATGTTGCTATAAAGTGTAGAGTAGTTTCAAAATCTCATGAGCCGCGAAATGCAAGTAAGGCGTGGCGTATCCACATAATTCTTCTAATAAGCACATTATGAAAACATTGACTCAGCATTAGACCTCGTGCCTCACTACAACCAGAAATGAACTAAGGCGTTCGGGTATCAATAAAGTCAACTGGCGAACGTTCGTTATATATATTTTTATTGCTTAAATTAAAATAATAAATAGAGCATTTTATTAAGATATTTGTAATTGGAGCAAAGGCTTGTTTATGCTACGAGAGCTCGATAGACTGTGAATAATGGATGTAATGTTTTTAGGACGTAGAATAATTTAGGCGACGTGACGGTCGGAATTGTTTTTGCGCATATCAAGGTCAAAGCTCATAAGATTTTGAAACAACTCTAAAACAACTATTTTATACAGTCAAAGCTCTTTATTCACAGTTCCAATATTCGCAGATCCAAAACTAAAGATGCATATTGCATTTTTAGAATAATGTGTATTTATTTGTCAAAATAAACAAGTAGGTTTCAAAATATTTATAAACCTTAGTGTCATAAAGCCGAAAAGTGTTTGAAAATTTTTTTTAGGCAAAGGGGTTCCTCAAAAAAATCGAATTGTTGGCGGGGTTCCGCAAGTCGTAAAAGTTTGAAGATCGCTAGATAGGTCATAGTGGTTTCATTTCTGGCTTCAAAAAATCAAGAATTCACATCGATGGACTTCTATGTGGATATATGAAAAATCTGGTATAAACCCAATGGCTACTGAACAAGATCTAGCGCAAGCCATCAACAATGCCTCAAACATAATTCATGAGCAATAGAATAAATGAACATTTTATTCGCTAATTACAACAGTCTTGATTGTAATGGAAATTTTTATATATATATTTTTTATGGACTGTCTATGATGGATGATCTCGCATTATACAGGGTGTAACTTTAAGTAGGGGTTCAGTTTTTTAGGGGTAATAGTACGTGTTCTCCTGAACACGAATCTGAAATTATTATTTCTATAATCAAATAAATAGTCGAGTTATAATAAATTTTTCAAAATGCACTTTAATTCTTGTGTACACAGCCACTGGACTTCGTAAACCGTGGCACTCAGAATTCCTGTGTGAAGTTGTGTTAGTGCACTATCAATGTTGCCAGTTGGTTTTAAATCCAACTACATTGTATAATTTTATGTGAATTATTACATATTAACTAATTTTGGTACAGGGATACGTTACTAATTGTAAATATTTTTTTAATTAACTGTTAAACAACAAAACTAATTAAAAATAATTTTGTGAAAACAGATTAATGATTAATTTAATGTTACGATTTGTTATTTGAAAGTCACCATCTTTTTTTCTATGTTAATGTGGACAAAGTATCGAAGACTAAAAAACAGCTGTCTATTTTATTTCTGCTATATTGAAGTAAAGATAATGTTCCCTTTCATACCTGAATACATGCCTCTTCCGGCGAGCGACCCGTTTCCCGAAAAAGCATAGGTAGATCTAAAAGATAAGAATGTATGTGCTCCATTCTAAATAAAATTGCTGGAGCAAGATGTAAAGTCTGGCCATGTTCCGGTCCGTCCCCAGTTATGAGTAACTGAGCAGGTCTCACGTTGGGAGACAACTTCACCCTAAAAAAAAGATAAGAAAAATATAAACTCTGTACATTCGTTTAGGTAAAAGTTGATTACTTTGCTAATGTAGCATTTAAGCCATGGGGAAATGTCTGCTCCAGAATAGAGAAGGTTGATTCTAGAGGTCTCTGTAAGATAGGTTCTAGAATTGGTAACAGCTTTCTTCCTAATCCTTGAGAAATTCTATGTGTAGCAGGTACGAGGAGAGATTTGGCTCTTAGAAAGTCAACTTTTTCTACCTAAAAACAGGTTAATCCCTTCTTACCATCAGTTAATAAAGAATATTTTAAGATAGTAATAATCAAGAGTTCTAGAAGTGGCGCAATAATTTAAATCAAAGACCAGGTAGATTCCACATGTCGGCCTGACAGTCAAGAACCAGTGACGGCAAAATGTAGTGAAGTACAAGGTAACTATGAGAGGTAATAAATTTGAATTTAGCTAAATTTCAGGCATTAAAAAGTATCATGACCTTACAACATGATGATAGATTTAAGCTTAGAATTTTGGAACTAATTAAGTTATACTTAAAGAAGACAATAATGTAACTATTTTTATTGCTCTTTAAATATCGAGGACGTCATATCAGAAGGGCGTAAGAGCCACTATAGTCGGTTTTGGGTTTTTAGGGTGTATGACCTCATTTAATCAATTCGCTTCTTATATCAGAAGGGCGTATATATTCATAAACATCAACACTATTCTAACGCATTTTACTTAGGCGTATGAACCAATTTTGCAAAACTATAATATCAGAAATGCGTATGCCTGTAAAATTTCAGATTTGATTCATACGCCTTTCTGATATGACGCCCTCGATATGGTAACTCTGTTTAAAAGTTTTGACTTATTATCATAACTGGTTCAACAAGTATGTTTAGAAGACTTCTATGTATATAAAATAATATATAAAAAAAGGAATTTACATCATGCATTACAAAAAAATTAAAGGAGCATACCGGGTGTCCCATTTTAATTGATACACGTAAATATCTTGTCAGAGAAGCTACCAATCGAAAAATGGCCTAGAGTAAAATTGTTCAGGTCACTGGGGGAAACCAGCTGCTTACCTAGAATTTGACCTTGACCTCACCTTGAAGGTCAATTCAAGGTCAACTTCGGAATTTTAAACGGGACCCTCTATTTTTAACCTTGGAAATGGATTCAACAGAAAATTTTACAGATTAACAGATTAAATAATAATTTCATAGAAAAATTAAAAAACACAAAAATATGTCGTTTTTTTTTTGTAACATTATTTCGTAAACCCTTTATAAACCTAATAAACTAAATCACTAAAGACTGTTTGAGAGTGGAATGATGACACTTTTACTGAACGCTTCAAAATTAGGAACTTTCATTACATCTACCTTGGCAATTCTATCATGTCTTATTATGTTGCTAAGTTGGTATTGCCAACAATGACCAATAGTAGCGGCTAGCTGGTTAAGCATATAAATCCAATTTACAATGAATTTAAACACAATGCCACGCCGACGCAATTTTATTAAAAAGCTGAAATTGTTTACAAGCAACATAACGAGCAGTAGAAATTACTCACCTTCACATTTTCTGGATCTAAAAGCAGCTTGAATTCGGAATTATACACCTGAGGATAATTTCTCCTGAAACTCTGAATAACCGCTTCGGAGCACAACGCCCTTAGATCCGACCCACAATATCCAACCGTATTTTCTGCCAAATAACTCAACATCTGTTTACTAGGCGGATTGGCCCACAGAGATACATGTACACTTAAAATTTCTTCTCGTTCCTAAATAAAACAGATTACGTATCGTTACTGTTTACAGAGACAATCCAAACGTACCCTTATAGAAGGCAATGGAAAGAATAATTCACGATCGAATCTACCAGGTCTCCTCAGTGCGGGGTCGATAGCATCGATACGATTAGTCGCACCAATCACTATGACCTCTCCCCTATCGTCTAGGCCATCCATGAGGGCCAAGAGGGTCGAAACGATACTGGCATGGACTTGGTCTTGCCTGGACGATCTCACCGGGGCCAGACCGTCTAATTCATCGAAAAAAATTATTGACGGTTTCATTTGTGCAGCCTGAAATTTTCTCCATGAAGTCAAAAAGAAAAAGTTTCAAAAACGACTTACCTGTTCAAATAAGAGACGCAGTTGCTTTTCCGATTCTCCTATCCACTTACTTAGTAAATCGGCACCTTTTCTTAAAAAGAAAGAAACTTTCCTTTTCCCAAAGCTACACTCATTTGCCAAGGCTCTCGCGATTAAAGTTTTCCCAGTACCTTTGAAACATATACATAATTTCATTTTGCCGAAAAAGTATCAGAAAATATGAGGGACATTTGAAATCTTCTTAGCCTGATTATGAAAGAATATAAATAATTTTGTAACAGTGTGTTGGAAGTTTGATTACTTCAGCACAAGACAGAGTAAGCACAAATGAACAAAAAAGTTGTATATTAAATGGGTGTAATATTAACCGGTTTATGTTCAAGTGATTGTAAAGTTCTTTGTCTGGCAAAAATCACGACTTCGTATTTTTGCTTTTATTTTTTGGAAACAGAATAAAATCTATCCAAGAATACTTGATTTATCTATTACTTATTTCATTTCAGAGTGTTCATAAATGTTTACAAGCCATGTAACTGCCGAGCTTGTATCGAATGATTCGTTTTCAATGAACAATGACAAACCGTTAAGTCAATGCTCAATATAATGTGATTGCTGATTGGTTTTAATGTGATTTTAGCATCATGGTTACAGTCGTAACAGATAAGGTCGGGCTTATTAATAAAAAGCCACATGCAGCCTGCAGACCGCTTGCTATACAGGATAGGGTACTCTGATGGTATGATAGCAAATATTAACTCTCATAAAAGTGTATAGGCCAAAGGGGTCAACTAAAGATGACCTTGAAGATTGATTTTCAAGGATATCTGAAGGTCAACTTTGTTTTTCTTAATAGAAACTCTTATTTTTGACAGTGGATCTGGAAAAAGTGTCAAATTTCATGTTTAGATCGATAGTTTCTACTTATCGATCAAAATTACCTTCAGAGGCCACTGCAGTAAAAAAATCAATTTTCAAGTGTTATGCAAATCTGCTACCCTACTTATAGCTAGAGTAACGCTACAGCAAGAGTAAGCGCCATTTCACACTTGCCGGATTCGGCTATCCAGATCCGGCTAGCTCTTTCACACATAATTTAATTTTCCGACCAGTTTGGCCGATATTAGTCTCAGTTGCATTTTTATCATAAGAGATGGATCATAGAGGCATTGCAATTATGTGGCTTGGCACTGTCGACGTCGGTGTCGTAATAAAAAAAAGTAAAGTATTGTTGGGTGCATTAAATAAATATGAAAAGGCTAACAGTTTCGTACCACAGGATAAGTCTGGCTTTAACCAGTGCAATTCAATATCTACATCTAGCGTACAAACATTCGACATAGTTGGGTATGAATATTTAAAATAATTAATATGTCTCCTTTTTTTCAATGAAACCGGACGACTGAATCTGGCAAGCACCCAGCAAGTGTGAAAGCGTCAATACAAAATTATGCACTACTACCACTTCGGTCGCCGGGTGCAACCCGGCAGCTGTTCACCGGATAGTTCCTTCCATCACGTGTGAAAGCTGCCATAAGACTTTGTACACCTTGCTATACCGTGTAACCGGATCCGGTTAGCTGATTCCGGCAAGTGTGTAATAGTTTTTCGTAACAGTTGACCATCGACTTTTTACTATAATGACCTTTAAAGATAACTTTGACCATTAAGTGAAAATCACCTATCAGAGTGTGTAATTTCCCACTCTTTCTAAATCCACGGTCAAAAATAAGAGTTTCTGTTAAGAAAAACAAAGTTGACCTTCAATTAGCTTGAATATCGGCTTCACTCAAGTTCAAGGTCATCTTCAATTGAGCACCCCCCTCCTCCACTTTTAAATCTTACAACGTATCTAGAGACGTGTCAAATTACTCTGTAAATTTAAATCTTTGACGATTACAATACTAAAAGAAGTTAGTGATGGTTAGGAAATATTCATACAGTAAACCGAAAAGCTGATTGTTCACGTACCTGGAGGACCATGAAAAAGCACGCCACGTGGCGCTTGAACTTGGAACTGTTTGAAAACTTCAGGATACATCATGGGCAACAATATCATTTCCTTAAGGCATTGTATATGGCTATCCAAACCACCGATACTGTTAAACCTTACAGAAGAATCCAGCGTTTCTGGCTTTATTGGAATTATTTTGGAACTTCCCCCACCTCCTGATTTCAGTTTTTCATTCTTCGAATGAGGATTCTTTGGTGTCTTGCTGCTCCTAAAAATGTATTAAATTGGACACTAAATATTATTTTATAAGTTACGATTTTGTATTTTTTAAAAAAATAATATAATGAAAATACCCATGTCTGACATCAGATGATGAGGATGACGATGAACTAGAGGTTGAATCAGTTCTTTTACGCCTCCTCGTAAAATGTCGTCTTGTCCTAATGTCATGTGTTCGTAACACAGACGTTTGCACTAAAATAAAATGAGTCGTTTAAGTATACAAAGATTTGTTACTATTATGCTTAAATCATTCGACAAATAGAACTTGCAATACTAATCTATGTCATATTGCAATTTTTCCCTCAATTATTTGTATGTTAAATTATTATATTACTGAATTAACACAACTTTATAGCTAAAAAGGTTCAGCAACTATAAATTTGGCAGGCATTACTAAATTTATATGCAATAATTTGGAGATTAAAGAACAAGTCGACGCTGTGTACGTGGATAAAAGAAAGACAGTTGATCAAATTGTTAATTATTTACCATTATCGAAGCTAAAAGGTTTTCACTTTTCTTAACTTAATGTTGCTATTCATATCTTGCTTATCACTCTAGGAAGCTATTTATTAATACAAAAGTTACAAATTTTAAATATAAATAATAACTTCTGGTGTTCCTTAGGGACAGTGCGGCCAGATTGGGCGACTTATTACAACCTGGGCTACATTTGAATACTATTTGATGTAGTATTTGCAAAAATTGATTTTACGTTTACCCTTGCGACTAACCTAAGTATTAAACCAGTTTTAGAACCACAAAAATTGAATGAACTTGACTTTTATTTCTTCATAATTTTTTTATTGTCATTGCACGACAATGTAAAATGTGACGAAATTTCAATTGTTTATCCTATGGTTGTACTGTAGGTTGCGAATTTGGGTGGCAAATTTAATGATCTTCCATAAAAATATCTGTACCACACTGCTCAGGGATGCAATTTAGGACTCCAACTTTTTTTTAAGTTTATTACTAGTCACTTCCATTTAGTTGACATTTATGTGAGAAAATTAAAAATTTTTTAATAGTGTGACTAATACCAAGTATTGCTTTTACTTACTTGCAAGCTTTTCAAATACTGGAATTTAAAAAATTTAAATATTATATTTTTCATGCATAAGAAATTAAAATATATGCTTTTATTAGGCTTTACACATAACAAAATAAAATCACGAGTTAATTTCAAAAAAAATTTCCTATATGGTTTACAAAAAAAAAAATGTTAGTTTACACTGTGAGCAAATGTTTTTTAAATGATGAAGATTTGCTACTCTTTGCCTTAAAAACCGTAGCACAAGTCTCAGTTATTTTTTTATCCTGAAGAAAGTATTGACCAGCGTTGCCAGATTTTTTTCAGGCAAAGCAGGATTTTGTAAGCTTTTAAGTAAAAAAGCGGGATTCTTTAGTCGAAAGCGGAACATACTAAAATAAGGTATATAATCAATATTTTCTAACTACTTATCCTTTTATTTAAGTTTCAAATTAAATTTACATCACGATAGATAGCCAAAATTGCCATAGAAAATATACTTTAATCAAGATACGTTACTTTACTATACTAATTGTTGTGCCGCCGAGTAATCACCGAAAAGCGGGACTTAGCCTGTCCAATGCGGGACATTCAATTTAAGGCTAAAAATCGGGACGTCTGGCAACGCTGGTATTGACAATAAGATGCTGTTAGATATGTTCAATACACTTTCTTTAACCAAAAGAAGGAACTGTATTGCCATCACATTTTTATATAATTGAATGTGTTATGTTGCATATCTTCCTAATAAACGTCTTCTTGTGAAAGCAACTATTTTTATTGTCCGAAATATTACGCATAAATCACCAATATGTTTGTAATGGTGCAGTGTCATCAGGTAAAAATGTTAGATTTTACTGTAACTTGTTATTTTTAAACATATTGAAAACAAATGTAACTTATTCACTGTTTTCATCTCTTTTAATAAAAAAATAAACAATTGTCGTAGCATTCCTACAGAATGTTTCTGCAGGATTATAGAGATATAAGGTTTGATAGGTTTATCTCTAATATTAAGGAAGATGTGGCTATAAGGATGTACATTATAATCGTAATGTGTTAGGAGAAGATTACCGTTAGTTGATAAGCAATGAGCAAATGGGATGAAATTCTTGTCTAAATCTTTACATTTATACCATAATCTTTTGATCACATTTTCCTTAATAATAGATATAGATCTAGATATAACCTTATATCTCTGTAATCCTGTGAAAGGGTTTTAAGAAAATATGTAAAAATATACAGGGTGTTCCACATGAGAAAATAGAGTTGGAATTTGAAATGAAATAAATTTCTCATAAAAAATTAATGAACAGATCATATTTTACTTTTCCCACATTTTCAAAGGCATTCAAGTTATTGACCAATATAACATTTTCGCCTGATGACCCTGTACATATTTAATACTGTTTTGAATCTTTGAAGAAATGCATAAATGGTGTTTCCACATCTTTCTGTAAAATCTAAGATTTTCTTATTGTATTGTTAATTTGGTTTTATTTTTATTATTATGTATTTACTTACTGGTTTTAGGCGCTGGTTTTGGTGGTCGATTTCTCAATGAATATTTTCTCCCTTCTTCCTCCGATTCTGAACTAGATTCTGTAACAATTGTAAGTAACCATTTTGTTAATTGCCGCAACATAATCAAATGTACAAACCTAATACTTTTCCATTCCTTCCATTTCTCGACGAAAAATTTGTATTTCTTAACATGCTATTCCTTCTGTTTTTTGTACTACGTGGCCTAGAAGATGCTAATACCACTTTCTCGTCACCGCTATCTGACGAGTGCTCCTCCTCTTGTTTAATATCATTTTCTCCATTCTCATCTAAAAACTTAACGATAATATCCATTTTTACCAAAGTAATAACAAAGACCTACTTGCAACACCATTCACTTCTGGCTCTTCAATGTCTTCCTCAACTTTATCTTCGCTTTCATTAGACTCATCTTCATTTTCATCTATATTAGCTTTGGGTTTAATCTCACTCTCTGTTTTCGAACTTCTTAATCTCCCATTAGTTTTACCATTTACAATGACATCCTTTTTATTCTCTTTATCGTTCGACTCTCTTCTAGGTCTAATTTCTTTTTTACTGCCTAAAGCCGATACATTTCTCCGACGTCTTGACGATATCTCTCCTTCCCCATAATCGTACAAATACTTTGTGTTTTTCAAATCGTTGCTTCGCCTGGTAACCCGATGAGAAATCTCTATATTGTCCCTGTGAGCATCTGCGGCATCTCTACTATCTTCCTCGGAATAGCCAGCATTTAAATTTGGGTAACCCACTTTATGCATCTGATTATCTGCTAGCCACGTCATATTCATCCGTTTCTTTCTTTTGCTTCTTCGTACACCTCCTAAAATTAAGAAAACAATTTAAGCAAAAAATCCTATTTCTGGGAAAATGTCGACCTTACCTTCATCTGAATCGGAATTAAAGTGTAATGGTGAATGGGGATCTGTGTAACATTTCTGACTTATAGGTCTAAGGGATAAAGCCGTTCTCCTTTGAATTCTGTTCATCTTTATAAGATGCCTGGACCTCCTACTCCTAACAAAGAAAAAAAATAATCTTAAGAAGTCGTTTGAGTTAATAACTGTATAACTACCTAACAGAATATATTTCCTCTTCCGATTCATGTCCGTTTCCATAATCATCCGAATCATCATGCATTTTATGGGATGAATATACGGCCAGTGAATGTCTTTCATTCAAGCCTAACCGCTTGTGACTACTTCTTAATGGACGAGCTATAATTTAATAAATATTTATTATATATTTAGCATGGTTTAGTTTTTTGTATATATTGTATAATGTTTGTATATATGTATTGTAACGTACGATTATATTTCCTTTCTGTGAAACTAAATTTGCTTCTTAAATTTCTAGACGGAAGAGGAACTTTCTTTTTTATAGGTTCCTTTGTTTTTTCTGGGGTGTTGGATGATGATTCTTTGTCAGTCAAATCCTCACTATCACTTTCATTCACACTAGATGAACCACTTTCTTCGGCTACCTCAACTTTAACCAATCTAAGGCTTCCCTAGAGACATGACAAAATTAATATTTTAATTATTGATAAGAAATATAAACATTGATATTGATGCCACACGTGAGAAATTACTTTTTATCTAGAGCTTTAATAATAATTTCTAATGATGTAATAAACTTATTTAAGGATGTCGCCAAAGTCATATTGATGTTTAGATTTGCTACTTGATAGTAACACATTCCTATATGATAAGGATTATTAGAAATACAGATAAAAATTTTATAACGTAATAGTTTTGCTATTAGAGAAAAAACAATAATTAATATAGGGTGTCCCGAAATTCATGCAACAAAATTTGGTCATAGATTCTTAAGACAAATTTAGGGGACCCATATTTTTTTTTTTGACAACTGGCCCCCTCTTTCGGAGTTACAACTCCCTGAAATCTGCCCCTAAGAAGTTTTTTTTATATCTCAAAACCATGTTGTACGGGAATCATTAAATTTGGTACACACTGGTTTTATGACATGTGGAATCTCACAGTGCTACGCTTTTTGGCGAGAAGCCCCCTTTAGACACTTTTTCGTGGGCCACCTACTCTTTGGAACCAGAAAAATTTGGTCGCAAATTTGATTTTTTTGAAAATTAGTTAGCTAAAAAGCCATCGAGTTTAGAAACTTTTTTGTCCCTTGATATTTGTTTTGTAAAACGCAATGTTTTTGAGGAAAGTGGAGAATCACGATATGCATTCGATCACATTTTAACATTTTTCTCAAAAAAATTGCCTTTTACGAAAAAGTATAAAGAGACAAAAAGTTTCTAAATTTAATGGCTTTCTAGTGGACTGATAATTTTTAAGAAATTTAAATATGCGACCAAATTTTTTTGGCTCCAAAGACAAGGGGGCTCACAAAAAACGTTGCACCATCAGATTCCACATGTCATGAAACCCCTGTGTACCAAATTTATTCTCGTACAACAGGGTTCTGAGAAATAAAAAAAAGATTATTCTTAGGGGCGGACTTCAAGGGGCTGTAACTCCGAAAGAGGGGGCCACTTGGCAAAAATAAAAAATACGGGTCCCCTAAATTTGTCCTAAGAATCTGTGACCAAAATTTCTTGCATGAATTTCGGGGCACCCTATATATATATTTAAATTACTGTTCTGATTAAGTAAATATCTGCCTGCATGTCACAGGAAGTTCCACCATTTGTGACTATGTATTAATATTAAAATCAATCTACAATGTTTTATTTGTTTATTTTTTACCACTACAAAAATGAAAGCATTCAGCGATAAACTGCTATAAAAGTTCAACAACAATATTGACTTGGTGCATGATTAGTTATTTAAAAATTAGCTTATGAGCTTGTGTTGTGTATAAGCAATGTACACTGTTTCTAAAAGATGTAGCACAAATGATATCGGCGAATCTACAGCTAAAAAGAACATGTTTTGTAGAAATGATCTTAGTATAATTTTCATCCCTTAGGAGATACTATTTCCCAAAAAATACAGCAGCTGTAATTTGAAAATAGCCTGGTTTATATTAAAGGTTTTATCTCTCTCATGTTTTTGCTTTAAATAGCTTGGTTAGCGGCTCAGATGGATTGATCTCTTAATGGGAGGACGTACAAGGGGCTCTAAGTGCTGCTTCTTAAGCTACTCTCCCTAAAATCCCAGATTACAACTCTCAGGATTACAATAACTAAGAAAAATTTAAGTAAGTGGCTGTCATGCTAATTCTATCATTAGTTTTTTTGTGAGTCTTCTAACAAAGCATACATTATATAGAGTGGAATCTCTAGTAAATTTGTTTAAATGTTTCAATGCTATAGTCTTTCCAAGCTCAGTTGAAGAATCAAGAGGTTGGCAGTATGTACCAGGTTCGGCGACTGACGCAGCAACTCATTGAAATATTTGAAAAACTTGTTCCATATTTATTTAGCCATACTGATATACAGGTCTGATCGAACTAAACGTGGAAAAGGTAAACATGTATACGCTCAGTTGAAGAACGCGCACGTGGGCAAACGGCGTAAAACACAGCCGCACTGCGCAACTGGGCAATAAATCCCAGTTGTTGACAAGTGGTTGACAAATTGCCTAGCAGCGCAGTGCAGCAATGCGGAATTTGGTGTAATTCAGGTAATTTTAATTTATTATAGGCACCTTCTATTAATAATTCTAATAACAATTGGGGAAAGGGATAAATAAGAGGGATATATGTATGTATGTATGTATGTATGTATGTATGTATGTATGTATGTATGTATGTATGTATGTATGTATGTATGTCGGAAGGTGGTGGAATTGTTTTTTTCCACCGCGGCACTTAGGCTTTATTAAGCCCCTTGTACACCCTCCATTACTCAAGTACTTTTCTTCAAACCATCCTATTTACTACAAGGGTGGCTTGGTGGCAAAGTCTCGTACAATTTATGTATGATAGCATGGTCTTGAGTTACAGAGATTTTCTTTGCTCTGATCTCATTTAACGGGGACCACACGCATGCGGCAAATGTTGGGCGGCCCAGGTCTCTGGTAGGCTGCCACAGCCACGTCCCCAAGCCTGCCTTACGTCACCCATCCAAATTCCAGCCTGCGTCCGTGATGCTTGCCTCGGCAGATCGAAATCCACCGGCCAAGACACCCGGCTAGGCGGTCCCCTAAATAAGAGGGATATTTTGTTTACTAAGACTACATGCAATTTTGGAGACCTTTTGAAACGGAACAAAACAAAATTTACATTCAATATAATAAAATTATTATAATTTTTTACCTTTAGCAGAAAACTTTTTAGGGACGTCTACAAAACTCATTAAATTTTATTGCTAGGCGTTTTTATACATGTTCAACTGACTTCGGAAAGACTATACCAGTGGGTGGACTACAAACTATTTTTTTTGTTGAGCTCTTCATATTAATGATTTTTCAATATTAGAATGCTGATTATGTTAAATTAACATCACCATTAAAATAAATGTTGTGCAAACTATAAGTTATTAATTATAACAGAATATTAAAAAATATATCTACATATTTAAAAAAAGTACGCGAGCTAATTATAAAATGTTTTTTTTATTGAATAAAATATTGCGTCAAAATACTTGATTATACTTAGAAAATTTTGTTCTTCAACATTAAGCTGCATTGAATAATATAAAATGATATTTTAATATTAAATAGACGTGTCATAAACACCGAAAATAAGTTAAATTTATAATTAAAACGTTAAGTTACAATAAGTTAAATTTTAGCAAATATAAGTATACATTACATTTAAAAAAAAATACTATAACAGTGCCTTACTTGATCCTATAGAATTTCTATATCGAGTTACCTCTCTATATAGTTTATGTTTACTCCTTGGATTTGCTACTCAGTAATTTTATTTTTTATGATAACTTGGGAAGAATTATGACAAATAATTTTACTAATGATGAAGAATGTACCACCAACGGCACCCAAATCCTCCAGTTCCACAGAGACATACCCTCCCAGCAGTAGAAAAAACACGGAGTGAGAAACTGGTAGAACAGACGCATTTTAAAGAAATTACCAAAGTGCAAGAAAAATATTGATGCAGTTAAATGTTTCTCACAGTCTTGTTTGGAATATTGTTCATTACGATCACTCGAACATGACATATGTAATCCAGTAAGCCTATTGTGATCTTACATTAATACCTATCTCAAGAAATAATTTGAATTTTGCATCGACAATACTTTTCACAGCAACCTTCCAAAGACATGGTTTAACAAATTTGCACAATCTTCATTCATGGGTTAAAGAAAATTCTCCCATAATTTGTAAGACAAAATTTTAGCACAATTTTAGTTTGAACATTTAGTCAGGAACTGTAAGAAATTTTTAAAGAAACATCTTCCATTTCAATATTACTTGAGGATACACCTTTAGATGTATACCAAGCCATGTGGTACAAGCATGATGATGTTCCTGCTCACAGCAAAACAGTAGTCAGTCAGGCTTAATTGAAAATTTCCCAATTGTTGGATAGCTCACGCCAATGAAAAACCTATCTCTTGACCTGCAAGTTCATCTGACCTAACTTCCATAGATTATTTTCTATGGAGATATATAAAACATAAAGAAACATAAAACACACCACGGAAATGAGACAACCCCCAAATCCAAAGCCAAAGACTGTGCGGAAGGGAGCTACACTTGAAAAAACGTGGACAAACAGCCATTATCCATCCACATTGCCGTCGCCAGGGATCGAACCCCGACCAGAATAAGAAGTCTGGCAGAGAAATGCTTGTCACCGCACTCTCGACCGACTACGCCACCTTGGCGATAATAATAACGTGGAAAGTATTATTTATGCCACTCCAGTTAACAGTGTTGAAAAACTACAAGAAATAATTTTTCTGGCAGCTGAGGAGATCCACAACAATCCAGAAATTTTTACTTAAGTATTAGCTGTGTTTAGAATAAAACAGAAAATAGAAAGTAATAAGTAGCAACTCTTGTGATTCAGAATAAATTGATTTATTTTTATTTTATTTTTTTTAACCCTAGAAATGGGTCTGTATTGTCTTTGGGGCACTTGGCGGTTTTGGTGCCTCTGCTGGTTCATTTTTCTTGCTGTATCAGAGTTTTTCCAATACAAAAAATACTTGCAACATGTTAACATATTCATCATTAGTAAAATTATTTGCCAGAATTCTTTGCAAGTTATCGTAAAAAATAAAATTACTGACTGACAAATCTAAGGAAGCATGCCACCTACTTAAATAAAATTCTCCCTAGTTGTTGCGATCATGTAAGTTATAATGCGAATGATAAATTAATTTTATATTTTTGTTAATAAACGGCTAGTTTTAAAACAATGAGATGTAAATGTATTAAAATAAATCAGTTTGGCACATATTTTTAGATACTGAATTAATCATTGAAACAATGGTTATATCAACTACCTTCAAGGGGCAGCAATTTTTGGAAAAATAGTTGAAAGTTCCACCTATATTACTAGAAAATTTGTGTAACATTTGATATTTGTACTGTTTTTTGCCTTTCATATTACAGCTGCTTTTCCATAATTTATCCAAAGAGTGAACATTTTACTAAGCACTTATGCAAAACATCTCTTTTTAGCTGTAGATTAACCAGTATCATTTGTGATACTCCCTTTGAAAACACCCCATATATTCTAAAAATAAGTTTTCAAATTTATTTGACAATTTCACACATCACAAATAGTAGTAGCAAACATACAACATGTACTCACATAATACATTAACAATACAAACAAATACTGTACCATTAAGAATTGATTCAAACACAAACATATTTATTTGTTTATATTCATCCCAAAACCAATATGTTCCTCATAAACTGTAAATGTACATCTTGTACATATAACTAATTTTAAGGAAAATGTGTTCTAATAACAATACTTTTAGACAATGATAATGGCTTTAATGTATAATTATATTTAATGGCCAAATATTCTTTTGAATATTTATCATTTGAATATATTTCAAATATACTCTTTAATAAAAATGCACTTTCTACTACTATCTAACTTAGTTTGATATTTATAGTGGTAGATATACTATGTAATAATGAATAAACAAGATTAACAACATGTTTAATAATTTTTTAAACTTTATCCTGATTACTGATTAGATACCACAAAAATAAATAAACAAAGGCATGATGAATTTCCTATCACCATCTTTCTGAAAATTATAACAGATTTTGAATGATCACGAACTTTTGAGAAACAAACACTGACATATATATTCTTATACAACAGTAAGAAAAATTACTTTTTCTCAGACTAAAAAGCTATATGAAATAACATTATAACGTAATAACTAATCTAATTTTCTTATATCCCTTGAAATATTATTCATGCTATTATATGCTTTTGTCAATTGTTTAAATTATGAAATAAACAGATACTTGTGCACCAGTTTGAACTACTATTTCTAATATACTCCAACAATACGCTGTATTCATACTAATTTTTTAAAAACAGTTTCTAGTCTCTGTGGAAACCACATCATCAAATATGTTTTTGAGAAAAATATGCAGGGTTATTTAATTAAAACGTACCCTTGTACGGTGTCTTGGACCTGACGTTGAGCCATTTGACTCCATACGACGGGTGTTCACCATGACACAGTTGAATTCTATGACATTAAATAGTTATTAATACAAACACTGGAAAATTACATTATATTTTATTATTATAAACCAATAATAAAATCTAATTAGTTACCTTTTTTCTACAGCAGCACAAACATTTGGTTATGGTACATACTCGGGTATATAAGTAGGTATGTATGTACCAGAAATTAAAATATAGAACCAAATTAATTAAAATATATTTCCACTTGATTCAATCTAAAAAACTCATGCCAAATGATTGAAATAATAAATAATTAAACTATAGTGAACCAGTGAATAGTTTTATTTAAGGTAAATTTAAGTTTCATAATTTTTATATACCTTTTGTTAGAAAAATATTTATATATGACTATCAATATACCTATAAGGCTGCCTATTTAGTTTATTATTACTTCAGAGCAATACTGCTCTGATTATTACCTTTGTCTTCTTAATATTAATATAGGTAAGTAATCATATCAGTTCCAGTGTTAACAGAGAAGATTTTACCATTCTAAACAAGAAACATTACGGATCAGATATTAGTAGATTACTACTGCTACTACCATTTTAATGCATATAAAATGAAGGCATTAAAAAACAAACTGTTAAAAGCATCTGCCGTAGACCATTTTTCAATTACTGTTCTCTACTACATGCTCTATACTATATGTATATATGAAATGAAATTAGGAATATTTAGATGCTGTGTATTATTATTTCTAAGCCAAGAAGTGCACATGCCAAGAAATTACTACAACGGGTGTGGTAATTTTTTTAAAGAATTTAAATAGTTGCTGCAATTATAGGTAATTTGCAAATACATGCATAGACCTTATAGACTACTAGGTCTATGAATACATGTAAATGTCTAGAAAAACTTCAGTGTATGGTGTTTTGTAGTATGCAAAGAAATAGATATTAAAAAAATACAAATTATATAGAACCATAATTTACATTGTATAGAATGTTTTTAACTTTGAAAATAATGTGAACTGCTTTGATTCAACAATATAATTATGTAAGTTAACATGGTTCTTGAAGATGAAAGTAATGTTGGAAAATATTCAATAAAAAATTGCACAACACTTGAAGGGCAAAGTTTATATATGAGATTTTATTAATAAATGGACTCAAGTTAGTATACTGTTATGAGAAATAAAAGCCTCAATCCTTCGTGCCTACATCCAAAATCATTAAAACCAAGTCCAAAACTCCAACATCCCATATAACAACAATTAGGTAGGAACAAATAAAACGGACCAAACGTGACATTACATAAAATATCGTTAAAAGTAAAATGAAACAGTTAACGAGCGAAACATGTTCAAAAGGTACTTTCTTTAATTAATACTTACGGAACCAGTATAATTTACAAGGAATTATATAAATTGTAAGTTCGATAAAACCACACAGAAAGTCAGAATAAAAATGGTCACATCACAATTCACAATTATCTAGAAATACTACCAACACAGCAAACAACAAACAACACAACAACTACCATCAGAGTAACCAACTTATAAAATATAAACTAATAATCCGGCTGAACTAACCAGACCAACCAAATACCACAGGCCATATAGCTACGCAATAGCTAAATTATGACGATTATAATGATTAATATTCAACTTCATTAATTTAATTAGGCTACTTCAGTCTTGCACGTGACAATTAACATCCAATTGCATCAGTAAAGCGACTTGAAGACCAAAACGAATGAAAGTTTGTTAATTTCAACTATGAATGGTAGAGGTAAGGAGGATTCTATCTGTCTCTATATTTAAAAAGTGTTCGAAAAATACATCAAGTACAATTAAGATAAGACGCATCAACCGTAGTTGAAGTCTCACATTTGACAAGAATCCATTCAATCTAATCCATAACTATTTCTATCGCCACCCTAGATTAGAGATCGCCACTCAAATCTTAACTGGTTACTACTATTGTACACATTTAACCGCTACTACACAGACGAGCCGGAGAAGCAAGAAGAGCGCCAGAAGAAAGGGTCCTAGACAAAAGGAGGTCCCACAAAGCGCCTACACCGGCCGTATTTGCGGTCGGGGTAGACGACGGATGGCCCACCTACGAAGGCTGTCCAGGCCTACACGAGATGAGGCAGGATAAAGAGGCATAATCCCCCTCGATCCCAAATCATTGAGGCCAATGGAATAATGGCGCGCTCTAGAGTTCTTATTTCTACCACAGCATATTGTTTTATTTGACGTGTCTTTATCCTACATAATTTTAATTTGGTAGGTATCACGTATCCGTTCGATCACTTTCACTGGATCATACATGCATGTGGATTGTGGATCCAAGCTGACTTGTTTGCAAACTCTGCAGCCCGCAAATCCGCACACACAGTCCGCACAATATAGGTGGAATTTACGTTCGGCACAACTTGCAAAAAATTCATTAGAGTGCAGCAAGGCCAGCAAGTGCAGCTAGAGTAGGGCAGAAGAGAAGTCTGTCTGCTTAGCGGTAAGTTTAAACAGTTATTTCTCAGTATTCTGCCATCGTCAATATCTTTCCACCCTAGATATTTAAGATCAAAATTAAATTAAAAAAATACTTTAGCGTGTTTCTGTGTAAGTACCTATAATATTTAATACATGTTTTTTTTTATTATTTAAATAACTGTAATGAGTGTAATAGTCGCCCAATACCGAACTAACATGTTTCGTCACGAAGTATAGAGATGCAAACATGACATAGATTACATAGATGCAGATGAGACGATAAACGACACAGGACACATGACACAAAATCGCAAATCATACAACACACAATACAGAATGAAAATTTAAAACAGCTGGGTTTGTCCGTTTGTCCTAATTTTTCAGTGCAGATATTTGATGTTGATATGTATTTACAATTCGGGAATGAAAACTTAATAATATTAAGTATGTACATTTTTATATTTAATAAGTAAGTTTTATCAAAATATTTTGAAAATGCCCTGTTAATATTTTTTAATTTTATTAAAAAATTCTAGGTTCCTAAGATTAGATTTTAGATAGACAAGTATGTGTGAAAATGCTAAGTTTATTAGAAGAAATACCACGATTTATTAAAGATTATATTGGTAAGTTTATTTGAAATTGTAGTAAATTGTGACAGTTATAAATTTAAAGTAACAATCGTAAAAAAGTAGAACATTAATTATTTGTTAGTCGTACCATCTATAATCCCCAAATTATGAAACAAAACGTTAATAAATTGTTTTTAACTTTTACTTAATTTAATTATTTGTAGCTTTTACAATTTTTCAGTTAACTATATTGATATCGACTATTCTCTATGGTTAACGTGGTGTTTGACTCCGTTACTGATAACATTTTTGTTGCCAGTAGTTATAGCACTTTTTTTGTACTTGAGTGCATTTCTTTTATACATTTACAAACTTCACTGGAGGAGTATTAAAATTACATTGCAAACTGGTGATAAATGGGACACTGCAAGAAAATCAGTTGGAGCACTCTGGGATGCCCACGGTTGGATATGGCATGGTAAAGTATAAATATATGTGTATTTTGTATACTTATTCATGATGTGCAATTTCTGTTAAATCTAACACATATTTTAGAGTAGTACTAGTTGCAAATTATTTAGTTTGGCATAAAGTTGATATTATTTTTTTGTAAAATATATATATATATATA